AAAAAAAAAAAGAAATCAGATCTTTAGTCCAACTGCAAAATCTAATGTATATGCAGACCTAGTAATGACATGATCACATTTCTGCTTACTATTTGCTGTTTTTAATTAAGATACAGACCATAGAAGTTCCTGCTCAGTAACAGGACAAAACTACTACGTATGTTAGTCCCACAGAAAGGTTTCATCAGCTTTAACAGTATTAATTAGTTTCCAGACATTATCATAGGCCTTCTCTTGCTCTCACCGAAGTCAATGGCAAGACTGTCATTGGCCTCAACAGGAGTTAAGCTCTCAAAGAATAAGGCAAGGATGATAACTTTCGGGCGGTTAGGAGTAATAGGACAGGACAGGAATGCACCTTGAGACCCGTGTGACTACAAGTAAGTAACACTCACAAAAATCAAACAATGTTTCACAATAGGTCCTGAAATAACATGTAAAATGATGCAGATTCTTACAATGCTATGGAAACTAATACAAATGAAGCTTGATTAATATGGTCTGGGTTTTTTTAAAGCAATACAAATTTGTGATGTTAATTCGGTAATGAACATGTTCTGAATACAGTATTACCCATAAATAATCAATGTGTTATGAAATTGAATAAAAGTTTAACCAATATAAACACATTATTAAAAGGTAATTAATGAGTATATTTGTGCATACAATTTTTCTTGCTTTACACTAAGCTTCAGAACTGTGTAAACTATGAGGCATTCATCGTGCTTAACATGGCAGAAAGTTGTATTACATCTCTTCATTATTTTATTCTGTTCAGTCCTCTTCCCATCAAACATGCAAACACTGTCATCACCATTTTTGGCTTCACTTCAACCAGATCATCTGGGAGAGCATATATACGAGCACCGATTTTTCGAGCAACTGAAATGGCATACCTTGGAAAGCAAGAGAAAATAAATATCGTTATTTTCCTTGCATCTACTAGTGTGCCAAGATTCACACCAAGAACAACAGATTTTAATAGCAAGCTGTGCCTGTTCAATCAGTATTTACACTCTATGTGAAAATTCTTCACATTATTGGGAAGCAAGCATGTATTAGCAATTGTATTAACCAACGTTTTGCAACTGATTATCAACGCATTTTTGTCAAAACCAATATGGGTTATGACAGGCTACTAATAAACTAGTTGCATTGGAGTGCCGGTAGGTCTTATCAGTCATGAATTCGAGTTCATATTTTAAATATGCTAGAAAAGCAGCTCTAAAATCTTAGAGAATCTTTATAATCAAATCAACTAACGTTAGTGTAACCTTTCTCTCTGTTAATAAATCAGTAAATCATTCATTACGCCATGAATTATGCATTTCCTGCACTTTAGGAAAATAGAAAGCACTAATTTAAAACTTACTTAGCATTATTCAATTTGTCTTCGTCAGAAAGATCTTCTCTCTTGACCATTTCTGGACGAACTGCTTTTGGTGCAATGGCATCTATTAAATCTAGGACAGGTAAACTAGTGCTAATTGATTTGTCCTAAAAGAAAAGATTCAAAAGATTAGCATAAGGAATTTGCTTTGATTATTTTGTCATCACAATGCAAAAAAACCCAAAACAATAGCACAGCTTAGATACCTATTGAAAGAGAGCAGCATGTTTTGTTACTTTATTGCGTGAAAGTTTTTCTCCCCTTTTATGAGGTCTATTGTCATTTTCCACAATCAAAATGATAAGGTTCACACTCAGTGTTAATCTTGTTATTACACAAATTCTTTAAATTTATTTAATGAAAGAAACTGCCCTCCTTTCCCTAAGGAAGCAAGGGAACTTTGAAAGAAGTCCAAGGACCAGACTTTCAAGACTACAAAAAGGTCTTTACATTCCCCAATTACTTTTATTTTTCTCCTTTTCTTGTAATGGAACTATTCTCTGCCCTAGTTTATGGCTCATTCTTTTTATAATTTTTCAACTTAAACGGTACTCTGAGCTAGCACAAGCAGTCTGCATTTTGTATTTAATACACAGATGTGTTTTCATCTATTCTTAAAACATCAAGTGCTGTTGCTGCAATTATTTCTGCCCAGCTGTTGGGGCAGAGAAGCAGCTGATGATGTCAGACCAGCAGCCAGCGAGGCCGGCTCACGTGCTGAGCCCCTGTGGGAACAAAGCCACACCACATGGCTGCTTTCACCACCAGGCCAGAACTGTGATTTCTACCTCAGTGAAGTCCTCCAGAGCCACCACATTAATTGCACATTTAAAAATAGTAACATAAATCTGCTTGAAGACATTGAATGTATGGAGTATCTCCCCAAGACCATAAGACAAACCCCACACCTTTGTCATTTTTATCGTTTGAACTAATAGCAATTCAATAGAACTTTGCCTTCATAGTCCACAATAACTATCAGGGACCTCTGCTTTCTCTGCTAAACAATATGTTTCCTGCAGTAACTCCAAAATACAGACAAAAATTCAAATCGTGCAAGACAATATATACAAGAAAGTTGTCAAAAATCAGTAGTAAAAAAAGATCTACTGAATAATCGTCACTGTATATCCCTAGCTCCTTATCTTTATTGGTCTACCATCAATTGAATTACCTTAAAAACACAACCAATGCCTCCCAAAAACCACTGACATGCCAAAAGCAAGATGTTGGGACAGAATCTCTTCATACTTTCAACTTATACCACCACTATTAAATTTTATGTAGAAAGAAGAGAAGCAGCAATCCCTTTTAAGGAGATGAAGACCTAAGTTACCTTCTAGAGTAAAAATTAAATATTTTGTTCTATAAAATTATTTGATATTACCTTTTGCTTAGTGCTTATCTAATTTGATTTAATAACACAGTGAGCTCTCAAATATTTAACGTGCTAGGTTCTTACGTTTCTGTTGTGAGCCACAGAAATAACTGTTTCAGAGTATACAATGAACCTGTATAAGAATGATATATTTGCATGCAAGTGAAATTCACCTACCATTTCTAAAGAATGAGATTCACACAGCATGACACACCTGACACACATATATGACTTCTTCCATGTTTAATACTTCAAAAATGTGAAAGGAAAGCTTCCATTATCAGCTTGTTCATATTTACTGAATGGGAAAAGCTCCTGTTTTGTACAGGTCTGCTGTACATCACCAGGGCCAACGAGGACAAAAGATGTCGCTGGTCATCTTGGGCTCCTCTCCTGGCTGTGTCACACATGGGTACATCTTTTTGACCAGCTGCTACTAAAAATGAGGATTACCCCCTCCCAGTATTTTCAAAATCGTTCTCCATGTTTGTACAAGCATGAATATGCCTATATCCAAAAATCTGGAAGATACATGGCACTCCGTGCCCAAACATTGGTAACTCCGGACAGAAGCCCCTTTGAAAGTTTAGCCTTTTTATTGTTTCATTTGGTAGCTTACAGCAGCTATTATAATTTCTTTTTGTTTTTTATTAGTAGACTTGTAAAATACTTTTGAAGATCCATAGACTGTCAGAAATATTTCCTTATACAATTATGCTAGCTGATGGGAGAGCCACTGTTAAAAGCCAATTGTTAAATCAGGTTGAAATTCCAGATCTGATTATATGTGGAGAAAAGAGAAGTAAATTATTTGATTACCTTGAAACTTGTAATTGAAGTTTTCTTGTTTGCCTTTGCAAGCGTCTGATTCACCCACTTAATAATAATTTCATCATTTACTTTTTCCCCCTCTCCAAGGTCTGATAATACGTTCAGAGTATACCTTTAATAAAGAAAATAAGAGTCTGAGTTAAAGTGCATGGTAGAACTCGACTCTGTTAATAGTACAAAGGTACAAACAGACGTAAAATATTGCTTCAGCACAGTAACAATGCCAAGTACTCATCTTCATAAGGTACCCCTACCTTATAACTATTTAGCACTCTCTAAATCACTTCTTTGGTTGTTGCAAGAATAAAATAACGTCCTAAACCTCATAGTATTTACTGTTACGTCTTCTTCATATATTTGTTTTACTCAGCACATCATAATTAATATTATCAGCTTAAATGGCTCCCTACCATCCCAGTCACCTTGAAAACTGAATCCTAACAGTCTAAGAAACAAAAAGCACTGACTGGTTTGGCGTAGGTGTAAGAAAATTTACTTGTTGAAAATGTTTGCAATAAAATACTCTTTATTGAAATAAATTTATAGTGTATTTTTTCCTGCTCAGCGCACTAGTAAGATTTTGATTTTATGATAATTACATTACTACAGTTGTGATGGCCTAAAACTTTCTTCCCATTTCAACTTCCATAGTGTGCATCACCTCTTCCTATTTTTTGTTTGGATTTTGATTATATAAATATTTAAATTATATAAATATTTAAATTACTCTCTACGTACAGAAAGATTTATGGAATCAAAATGAAATTTATGGAATCAACTTTTAACTATGTAAGGTTTTAATTGTCTCTTTTAATGGATGTGTACACATACACACTATTCAGTTTCAATAACTACACAGTATGTAAAACTACAAAAAAACGTATAAAATTTTATCTTAGAGGAGAGGGGTATTTAGAGATGGCTCTCTAAAATACCTGCTGGGTGAACTGAACACTAGCTTCAATTTGTCTTGGTATACAGAGACACATAAACACGCGTGCACAAATACATCCATAGACATATCTATCACATGCTGTGCATAACTTACCTTCTCATCAGCTGCCACACCAGAGCCAAAGTCAGAGTTGGATTACCCTCATTTAGATCTTGTCCAGCAATACCAACCAGGGAGAATTTGGCTTTTGTCTTCCCGAGTTCTACTGCATAATTGCAATTCTCAATCTAAAAATAGATGTTGTGTGCAAATAACACCTTAGTAGTTCTATAGTACAGACTTGTAGTCTATGTGTATTTTGAATTACGTTGGCTTACTGTTAGCTATGGAGAGATTTGGAGCTAGAGAAAGATTTCTAGCCTTTCTACACTGTGATTAAAATAACATCGTTTTTACTATAAATACAAGCATGCAAGATTCCAATGACAATCTTTTTCACACTTGAGAAAACTAAGGTCACTTCCACTAATGTCAATAAATTAACATATACTTACATCAAAACGGAATTTGGAAAAATATTGAAATGTGATGTTCTTAAATAGACAGTATTTTTTTCCCACTACATTTCTGGCTTCATAGTGATCACAAAACTAACCAAAAGCTTTGATTCTGCGAGTCCTACACAAATTCTCGTAGCAGCATGTAGAACTGCTCCATGAGGAAACACCCCACAATATAAGAGCATCAGGCAACAACAGCTATGCCAGGCCTGAAACTTTTACTTATATACCCTAATTAGACTCTTAATTAAATATTACCAAAAGGTGTCCACAACTTAAAAACTGAAGTAATATAGGCTATAACTGCTATTTATTCCTTGAGGTTATAGCTGGAAGATTTTTTTTTTTTTTTT